TATGTTGTACTAAACTTTTGCTGCTTTGCAGGAGGGCATGGATTTGGCCTACAAGGACTTCAGAGCGTTTTGCAAAGGGTCAAGAATCCCTTGCAGCCAGCCACCTTTTACGGTGAAGCTTGTGACTTTGATGAATTTGTTTTTCCAAAGAAATTCTGCAAGAGTGCTGTTCGCTAAGCCTGCAAACCCAGTGAACAAGTGAGGTTGTGAAAAAGGGTGGGGATATCCTGATGACTGCGAAAGCGTACAACAATAGGTGCATACAGCTTTGGCTTGAGAGCGTTTTGAAGAGAGCTGCAGCGGCTAATCCACATAACGAACGATTTGGCCACGCATCAGTCATGATGATTCTAAGTTGCGTTTGGTGCACATGTACAAAAAAATTTGCAGTGCCTAGTTTTGCGCTTGGTGCCAAGAAATGCCATGATGAGGACAGCTTTTTCCAGGTTCATGCACTTTGTCGAGGCGTACCCCCGGTTCCTGTGACTTGAAACAATTACGTGCAAGCAACTTCTTGGTATGAAAATAGTTTTTTGTGTGTGTGCGGGTGTGTGCGTGTGCTTTAAGTTCTCCTATAGTCCTAGGTCACAGCAACAAGCTGATGATATTCTCCGGGAAGGAATGCTTTTTGCTCGATCGCTTTTGCTCCTCAATTCCTTGAGTGCGAGGCCTGCATTCATTGTCAATTTCACTGAAGGGCTTTTAGAAATTTGGTCTTTCGAAGTCAAACAAACTTCATCCCCCAATTTCCAGGCTTGGCAAGCTTCACTTCACCATACGTCCAAAGGTACATGTATCCCAGCAGCAAAAGTATCGATCAAAGGGTACTGGAATTCCCAGTGCGTTATCCGCTTAGCTATCGTTGCCACTCCTGAGGCATTGGGACATCTTCTCCAACAGGTTCGTGCCCACAGATACTCTGTGGCATTTAGAAATCAACAATCTAGAGTCTTAGATCGATATTTATCAATGCCCGTCAGTTCTTGGATGAAGTTCGCATGCGGCATCATGCGGCCAAGCTTCCTTTCAATCAACTGCACTGGCAGGAACAAACTTCAGATATCATCATTGCTACGTCGATGAAGACAACATGGGCGCCATGCGAAGTACTCTAGCTGTTTCTTCTAGCTGTGCATGTCACATGTGGTGTATGTGTGGTAACATGTTGCGCATGGCATTGTTCAACCTCACATCCTAGGAACAATCCTGAGAGCCCATGCGAGTCACCAACGATCTTGGTCTTTGAAGATGTCAAAGCTCCGTTTGTGGACATTGAAAAATAAAGTGAGGAAGTTCCTAGTCTTTGAAATGCATGATCAGGTGAAAGACTTTCCGGAATCCTGTTAACATGGCCTCACAACTATTTGACTATCTGAGGCTCAACAAATCATCCATGGCCAGAAAGTGATCTTTGACGATCGCTTGATCGAAGAAAAAGATAAACGGGCCAGCATGTGCGTGGTTGCAGCCGTGGTCAACGTGGTTTACAAAACGGTATACTTTATAGGTCTTTTACGTAAAGGGCATGGAAAGTTTAGTCTTTGGACTTCCAGGGTATACACACTGTTTGTGTTTTAGCATATCGCATACGGTGACCTGACTGACAGACAGAAGAGTTCGGCAGACCCGGATCATCCACTTTGTCCACCCAAACTCGTCACCGCCAAAAATGCACACTCGTCCTGAGTTCAAGAGTTCTTTCCCCCACCTCCAACACCATCTGAAGGGTCTCGGATGGTCTCGGACCTCAGTGCCAAAGTGGAAACACCAGCTGCCTCGCACTCAAAACATCCAGGACCGGGCGCTGCAAAGGATGCCGCAGGCAGGCGGCGTTGGCCAAACGAGTTGCGGCAGGTGGATGAAAACGTATTTATGGAACACTAAGGAAGAGGTCGGACACCAGGGTGAGCGCCCGGCTAGAAGTTGAGTGCAACCGTTTCAAGGGTCATGAATGAAATGACTCCAAAATTGGGCACATGTTCAAGAAAATCGGCTGATCAACAACAACAAGGTGTATTTTTCCTAAGTGAGCATATTCTGGGAACCCCTACTTGTCCACAGACCAACTTCGTACCTTTCGCTTCATCGAAATGACCTGGTTGGCTACCTGCCTCATGCTTACGGTATGGATTCGTTTGATGTCTTCGGAAGATGTTTTGGTCACTGCAACCCCCAAAATATGTTCAAAGACCTCATTCAACCTCGGTAAATGCTGGATGTCCAAGATCGATGGTTCAAGGACACCACCGATACTTGTCTTCAACGCCCAGAGCCCAAAAATAAGCGGCTGGTCTTCGAGACAAATGTGTCTTGCCAGTGTTTTGAGACCCCAAGTTCCTCGTTGTTCTCCAGGAAATATTCATTTGTTGGTTTCCAACACTCCCCGCAAAAAGTACGTCAAGCCGAGAGAGAGAGAGAGAGAGAGAACCCCCACAAGATCCTTAAGTTTTCTTTTTGGGGAAAATTGCAAAGACTCATGGGAAAGGGACCTTTGTAAGATTGCGTCACTGGGGGGTCTCCATCTTCTGATATCCATTTTTACGGGATTCTCTCGGGAAGAATGCATCACAATGTCACTCCAGTCACACCCGAAGTCCAGTCACTCCAGTCACACCAGTCCAGTCACCGAGATGCCCAAGGCGGAGAAGAGATGTCAGCCTCCCAGAGTGCGCCCAGTTTGGGCCTCACGGCGCTGCAGTTTAAGCCACCTGGACGGCCAAATGGATCCGCCGGCCCGTGCGCCGCAAGCGCGAAGTCGGTACCATTTTTCCCGAAGCGATCGCTGCTTTGGACCCTTCGTAGCCTAGAAGATGGGACTTGACCCATACAAGAAACAATAAGAAACAGGTACTTGGGACTTGTATATGTACTTGCTATTTTCCGAGGTATGAACTGACACTCCAAGTGGGCCATTTTGCTGAATCAGAGGGTCCTGCTGAAAGTCTATTTGTCCATTTGGCTTGGTCTCCCTCTCTCTCTCTCTCATTCCACCAGTCTGAGATCCTGCTTTTCACAATCAGCGTCCAAAAGACATCTACAAGAAAGCCACGTGGTCACCCTTTTGCAAAGTGGATCCAAGATGATCCAAGGGGATGTGTCTGCAAGTCCTGCGGGTTCATGTGTCCAACTTCAGTAGCCTTCACTCACTGCTATGGCCAGCTGCGGCAGGCTCTTCCACAGTCAGTCGTTTTGCATTTTGCCCAACAGGCGCCACTTGTATTTTGGCCAACCGGCGCTTAGGTGGTACTCAAAGAGACCAGGTGCCCTGAAACGGAAGGGTTTCAGAGGGTGAGTCTACAGAGTGAAGTCCTCCACCTGCTTGGGTCCTCCAAGCAGCGGCGAGCAGTTTTCGTCCACGGCCAGCGAAATCGCGCCAGGGAATGTTTTGAGGTTCAATCACCTTCTGAGAAGGTACTTGGATCTGTAGAAAAGTTTAACTTCAACCGTCTTGTGATCCGTCATGGATGTGCGATGGTCATTGTTTGATATTGTTTGCTGTTGAGCCCTAACACTAGAACTTTGTGTTTGTTTTTCGTTGTACCCAACAGACACATTCCTCCCCCCCTTTGGAACAAGAAAGCGCTGTCATAGACAGCCACCGTTGTAAGTCACCGTTGAGCTGGGAAGAACTGATTTCAGCGCACATACCCGTGGCAACGCTTTCCAAAATGAACAGATAGTAAGTGTCTTCCAACAAGGTCAATAAGATTTTGGAGACCATGTGCAGGCAATCAGAACCGCCTTTATTAGCATCAACTAAATTGACCGGGTATGAACAAATAACAACATGCCTGCAGCCTCGACAGACATTGCTTTTGTTGAGGCACAGGTCATCCTGTTTTATCTTGCCGCCACAAGATCTGAGAACAAAAGTATTCAGGTCCATATCAACTCAGCCTGGTCGCGCCTGAAAACCAATATACCTGCCAGCCAGGTATGGTTCGTACCGTAGATTTCGCTACTGTCGAGTCTGATACCCCTTGTGGACACGGGTGCTTCTGATATTACTTGACAGGTGATTGAAACACCTGATTGATTCCAGCCAGTTTGCCAGATTGATTCCATCGGCACGTGCTGGTGTCTCCTCGCTCAGGAAAGAGTTGGCCTTCAAAGAGGCCATGGATCGACACATCGCTGCCATGGAGGCGCATGCCGCCGAGGCAGTGGCTGAGAAGGATGCCTGGGACTCCCATGTGAGCGAAACTTGGTGCGCAGGGATGGGTGCCGTGGTTGTGATGAGGACGGAACCCAAATCAGAGACCTCCACCTTTGACTCCCAGTCAGAGCGAATGCCTGGAATTTCTATGATTTGTTTAACCGTTTCTTCGCGAACAAGAATGACCTGCAGGTCTACTGCACAAAAAGTGTCCTGTGGCTTTGAGTCGCCCAGGGTGATACAAGAAGTGTCGCTTATGATTCGCTGCCCGCATTCAGTGCCGAGGAGTGCTTGTTGCAAGAGCGGGATGAGATCCAAGCTCGTAAAGAAAGGAGAGATCGGGCTGTGTGGGTTTGTTGGGTGTGCGTGACCAACAGGAAACAACCTGCAGCATCCCACACCTGCTGTTGTATGTACTCACTGAAAAGTGCGTTGTGTACAAATAGTTGAGGGTAGCCCGTTGTGTGTGTGGACCTTCGTCAGATTTCGGAGGTTGACCACTTTGGAGCGTGGTGACTTGGGTTCCTGGTCTTATGCGTCCAAGAAGTGTAACTCCGCGGGGAGTTCCAAGCTTCGCCCTGGGGCCGAGCAAATCAGTTTGACAATTCTTGAAATGAGCATTCCGGAGCTGGAAAATGGAAGGATCCTGTAAGAATAACTCATTTATTGTAGAGATATATAGTACCAGGATTCGGACCCTCAAAACGAGATTTTTGCTGGTTTTACTTCGTGCAAGACCATTCTATCACCCGATCCGGCAGGGCAGAAGCCGTTCTGCAAGGCGTTTTCACGCAAGCCGCCGTTCTGCAGGAACCACCTGAACTTGCATTTTCTGAAGCATCAGATGGCCCTGGGCGAGCAGAAGCGCAAAGAGCAAAGGAGCAAACACCGGTCGTGTCGATGGTTGGAGTGGTCTTCCGGGGCAATGGGACCTCGTTCTGGCGGGTGAACGTCGTGCGATGGGACTCCCATTCCGTGCCGGTCAGCGGAGGAAGGAGCTGAAGATGCCCATCCTCACATCCACGTGACATCCACGGCCCTGGCTATTTCCACTGCCATGGATGTGATTGTTCTTTCGCCCCATTTCGCCCCAACCCGTTTTTCGCGGACGGTTCCGTTGATGTCCGTCGATGGAGTACAGAAGACGGAGCAGATCATTTTCCAGATGGGACCCTAGGGCTCCTGGCCCACCTCCATGAGGTTCGGTGATTAGACCCCCAAAACCCCCCAACCACCGAACCTCATGGAGGTGGGCCAGGAGCCCTAGGGGGGATAAGAGATCCCATGACTTCCATGATTGGGATGAACCGCGTTCCCGCTTGCCCCGCTTGCCGGTATCTTCTTGGGAACTCTAGAAGTGAGAAGTCTTTTCTTTGGGGGGATAAAATTCAACAAGGAATGCACTCTTCTTGTGCAGAACGCGTATGAATCGAGGGATCCATGCTTCAGTCTTGAGACAAAGGCAGCAGAACCATTCTCGGTCAACGTACCAGGTACGTCCAAGGGGGTTGGCTTCGAGCCATTTGATTCGGATGGCAGCCTTTAGGCACCTGTAGCCTGTAGAAGATACAAAACATGACAAAAAACTATTTGTCCCCAAGGCGTGTGTTGCGTGACTTGGGCATGATGCATCAATCCAATGGTGAAACACACGTGTTGGGCCGGGCCACAAACAAACACCGCATTAGCTATCATTGAGGCTAGAGTGGTCATAGAGGTCATGTTTGGCCCAACTACTCAGACTTCAACAACTCTCGTCTCCTTTTGTTACCCGACACGACGACATGTTTGTTTGACGAGTTTCTGTCGAGATCCATGGATTCGGTGTAGGTAGAGATCCAGAATTCCATCTCGCCCTGATTTGGCAATCCCTCATTGGCTTCGGTGTGTTGGTTCTCCCTTTTTCGACTGCCACATCAGGGTTAGTCAGTTAATGTCAGTTACTGTAACATGTGTTTTGTGTTTTTCATGTTTTTGTTTGCTTAAGCTCAATATTAGAAGTCTTTAATTTTTTAGAGTATGTTTTTGTATTTTGAACCGCTGCCATCCGCTGCCAATATTTCGCCAGGAAAGAGGACATCGAGGCCGCCTCGGCGCACGATTTCCCCAGCTTTTCCGAAGTTCATCCCAATCAGATGAAGGATTTCGTCAAAGCCCAGCAGGACGCGCCGGCTGGCACGGGGCCGGCCGGCTGGCATGGGACATGCATGAAACGTTTGGGGTTTTCCGGATTCGTTGTTTGGGGTTCTTTGATGAGTACCATGACTTTTGAATGACATCTCGAGTGGTGGATTTGAAATTAAATGAGGTTTGCTAGCAATTGTGCTTTGGATTTCAGCCACTTCTGAGGCGGAGGAACTACTAGTTATCAGGATAGTATCGCTGACATGAAGAATGATCTACTGACAGGACTTTGGGAAGACAAGCCATGTGAAGCACCCAAGAAGACCCGAACAGGTGGTGTGCGGCCGGTTCTTGCACCAGGAGAGAGTGCGACAGTCGCTGGATGATCAAGTGAGGACCAATAACACCTTAAGCAACTGGGCCAAGAAAGGATGGATATTGTTTTCCGATTTTTTTCATATTTTGTTTGTTTTTTTAACGTTTTTTTCTCTACTGTTGTTGCTTTTGCTTCTGCTGGGAGTGCTTTACAAGCACTAGGAGCAGCAGAAAGGGCAGGGGACGAAGCACCAAAGCCAGCGTGACAGTGACAAAGGGAGGGAACAGAAAAGGTATTCCACTTACTAGGGACTTCTTTGTGGTTGTCTTTAAACTGGTTTCGGGTTTCTTTGGGCTCGGTTTCTTGTCTTTAGCGTTTCTTTAGGCGTTCTCCCGGAAAAGGCATCCCACTTAACGAAGGAGAAGTAGGAGGAGAGAGGAACTAGAATAGGGACTTTTCTGCGGTTGTCTTTGGGTTTCAGTGGTTTCGGTTTTCTTTGGGCTAAGCAAAGTAGAAATCCACCTTTGTGGCCGCGTCAACGCAAAGAAAATAGTAGTTGTGGTAACTGTGGTAAGACTCGTAGCGGGGTGGTCCGAGTGATAGAGGTATTGGAAATACTACGGGTGGTGGACGGTAGTGGCAACTATTAAAAAAAGAAAACAGCGGGAGG